ATGTGGTGTTTAATCAAAGGAAAATACATAAAAGAAGAGCAAAATGTTATGCCTAGAAAAGGCATAGACAGCTAGATTTTAGATGACTTCAGTCATCTTCCAATGAAGAAACAAGAACAAGATGATAACTGGACATCTGTAATGAATGTTATGAAGCTACCTAAAAATGTCTGTTAACCCCTTAGTCATATATAGGTACGTAGAATTGTAAATGTGGAATGGTTTTAGGGAAGCAGAGTGAGGTTCTGAGAGGGAAGGTGACTTGCTGAAGGTCACCTAAGTCTTAATTAGTAAATAGTAGAACCTCTCTGCTACATATGAGAGGCAGAACAGCATAGCAGTAAAGAACATGGAAATGGAGAAAGATTATTCGCACTTGAATTCTGTTTCTTCTTCTTAGTAGCTATGTGACCTTGGGAAAGTCATTTAACCTCTCTATGCCTGAGTTTCTCATCTGAAAAGTGGGGACAATAATATACTCATTTCATACAGTGGTTCTAAGTATTAAATAACATAATATATAAAAAGAGTATGCAAGTGCCCAGAATACCATATTTGAAGAATAAATGCAGTTATAAGTAATAAATTAAAACTATTATTATTATCAATACACCAGGACAGAAAATCTTTCCTACTTCATGTGATACCAAGTCCAATGTGTCTTTCCTTACTTGTTTGACAATTCAGAAAGGTTGAATGAGAATCAAATCCATGTGAACAAAAGATTACAGTTGATTAAAAATAATTTGTCCGAGAGAAAATTCTTATATAGCACAGCATTTTTAGTGCCTTAGAAATTATCAGTTGAAGTTGTTATTTGATAGCAGTCTATTCAAATTACTGAAATAAAGGATTTGCCTTTAATGGAAAATATTTCATCCTAAGTATGAAATCCAGTAACCCTTGCTTTGGTATTCTCTGCAGAAACTTCTACTGTATGCTGAGCACAGAATAAAGATACAGATTGAGGCAAATTTATTTCAGATATTACAGATTGGAGGTATAGCTGTATGCATCATGAAAATTGAAACCTCAACTTTCCCCTTGAACCTGTAGTAATTTATCTCAGAAACATTGTTGAGTTCCCTGAACTGTAAGGTAAATAGCTTGCTCCCAGCAACTTTAAATCTGTAGGGGACAAGCCACTGCTATAACATGCTCTAAGCACCCTGTGCCATGGCTTGGAACAGTGAAATTCTCCCAGCATGCTTCAGGGAGGCAGTGGTTTGAAGTACAATGTGCCTAGGCTAAGTTGTTCTAGGATAAAAAAATACTTTGTAGATGAGGAAGGAAATTAAAATCAGCTGCAACACCACCATTTAAGAAAGATAGTCCTAGAGGTACCCAAGCAGAAGGGGAAACCACTTACTCATTGAAACAACATTTTGACACTCTGTTTATTAATTTATTCTATATAGATTTATTGAGCACTTACTTCATGGCAAGCACTGTTCCAGGCACTGAAGCTCACAGAGATAACCCTCCTTGTGCCAGGCACTGTGTTGGGGATACACAGATGAATGAGATCCAGCTCTTCTCTGCAAAGAGTTCAGAGTAAAGAGAGATGAAAATGGCAATAAAATGTGATGTAGTTGGGGCTGTGGGGCTACCAGTGACCTCTGAAGGCCAGGGAGGGTTTCCTAGAAAAAAATGATTCCCCAGGATGACACCTGAAGGGCAAAAAGGAGTCAATTAGTGGTCATTACAGGCAGAGAGAGCAGCTTTTGCCAAGGCCCACACTGGTGAAAAGTCACTGCAAGGGGTTCAGTGTGGCTGCATGGCTGGACAGTAAGTCTGGAGAGACAGGTAGGGGCTGGAAGGCGAAGCCATGTTACATAATTTTATACTTTATCCTGGGATGACTGGAAGCTATTGATCAATGTCAATCAAGGTGTGACGTGCAGATTTCAATTATAATACAGAGAATGGACTGGAAAAGGGCACGATTGGCTGCAGGGGTACTGTAGGGAGAGTACTGCAGCACTGAGCAGATGAGGGGTGGTGGGGTCTAAACCAGGCAGTGACAATGGACGAACAAAGCTGGGCAGATCTGAGATACATTATGGAAGTAATTGTCTGGAAGTGGGCCATAAAGAAGAGGGCAGAATAATGTTGACCCCAGGTTTCTAGTGTGGAAAACTGCCCAAAAGATGCTCAGTCACTAAGAGATTGAGGTGGGGAAGCAAATTCAGGATGAGGAACTATGATTAGTTGTTTTGAACATACTGAATTTGTGGTGTCTTGGGGACATCTAAGTGGGGGTGTTCAGTAGGCAGTTGGCTGTATAGCCTGAAGACCAAGACAGGGCTATGGACTGAAGTTATAGTACATGTAGTGGTTAAATCATGGTGCAGGATCTTGAAAAACACCACACTGCCACACTGTAGTGGTGAGGATGGAAAAAGAAGACTGAACAGGAATGGACAGAAGGCCAGGAGAAAAATCAGGGTGTCTGGAATCATAGGGAAGCATGAGACAATGGGAGAGAGAGTTTTAAGAAGGGTGAAGTTATCAACATCAAATACTGATAAAGGTCACCCATAACAGGTGCTGAAATTTGTGTATTGGATGTAGCAACAGAAAGGTAACTCACTAGTAGAATGATCATTTCTCTGGTTTGCTTGGAATTATCCCAGTTTGTGCCTTGTTCCAGCATCATTATTATTATTAGTGCCCCTTAATGTCTAAATTTGGATAATAAGTTATATCATCATCCTGGGATCTTTGGTTACTGAGAGAAAAGATAGATTGCAGTATGTGTAGGGATGAATTGGAAAAGAGAGATATCAAGCAACTTTTTGAAGGGGTGTGGTGAGGCTATTAGGGAATTTTAACATCAGATGGGCATTGAACTAGATGAATTTTAAAGTTTCTTCAAATCCTGGGAATAGTTCATAGCATTATTTTCCTTTACTATTCTAAGTCCTTAAAATCAGTGAGAATCAAGGCTCTGTTCTATTACTGGTTTTGAAACATTACAGAGCTAAATGCTATTTTCTTACAAATTACTTTACAAAGCTAACATTTTATAAATAAAATTTTTATTATTTTGTTTTCTTGAAAATGTTACTCATATCCCCCATATCATGAAGGCAATATAAAGCTGAAATGTGGAGTTGATTGTCTCTCTTAAAAAATAACTGGTAGTTCTATGTGATCCAGCAATTCCATTTCTTGGTATTTATCTGAAGAAAATAAAACACTAAGCTGAAAATACATACATGCACCCCTATGTTCATTGCAGCATTATTTACAGTAGCCAAGATAAGGAAGTAACCTAAGTGTCCATCAGTAGGTGAATGAATAAAGATGTATAGGTACACAATGGAATATTACTCTGCCATGAAGAATGAAGTCTCTCCATTTGCAATGACATGGATAGACCAAGAGGGTGTTATGCTAATTGAAACAAGTCAGAGAAAGACAAATACCATATGACTTCACTTTCATGTAGAATCTAAAAACTAAAAGGAATGAACAAGTAAAACAGAAACAAACTCATAGGTCCCAAGAACAATGTGGTAGTTGCCAGAGGGAAAAGGAGTGGGCGGTGGGTAAAATAGGGGACTGGGACTAAAAGGTACAAACTTCTAGTTATTAAATAAAAAGACATGGGGATACAATGTACAGAATAGGGTATATAGTCAATAATATGTAACAACTTTGTATGGTGACAGGTGGTAACTGGATTTATAATGGGGATCACTTTGTAATATATATAAATCAATATGTTGTATGCCTGGAACTAATATAATATAGTATGTCAACTATACTTCAATAAAAAATACAAGGTAACAACAACAAAAAAGAAATAACTGGTAGTTCTAAATTAAGCAGAAGAATCTTTTATCTTTTAAATTATTTTGTATGATAAAGCATTACCAATAATAATTGGGTTGAGGGTAAATACCCTGCCTCTTATTGCAGATACTATTGACCTAGGAAATCTAAGGAAAAAAACAACATGCCTCTAAGTTTGTTTATACCTACAATGTCTTCTGATTTTTGGAACTTTCAGGTTAGACCAAACAGATGTCTGACAGGGGTTAAACATTTATATTTAAATTGAGAAAGGTGCAAATAATATGGGTGTTTCTCTGTATACCATTTAGGTGTAGAAATCATAAGGGATGTCTCTGAGAGAATCAAAACACCTGATCATTATCATAAGTAAAAGAATATCCCAGGATAACAGAGCAGTTATATAAAAGGGAAGGATTTTCAAGACCATGTGGATATTGGCGTAGGTAGGGAGGCAATTTAGAGTTTCAAGTCCCTTTGCAGCCCTTGGTAAAGAATAACAAAGGCCAACGATAAGACTGCTTGTAATGTCCGCACATGCACATCGTTTCTCACTGTTGTTGAATTTGATCGAGTATGAAGCTTTCAGCCATAAAGCTGCCTCCTCTTCCTTCCCCACCACCCCCATCACTATTGTTTGCTCCGTTTTGAGTAATTAGGTACCTATGGGGTTAGGATAGGGTGACCTTTAACAGTCCCTTTTTATTGTGAAGATGAAAATGACTGCCTCAAAAAAAGGTGGGAGAGGGGGTATTTCTGTGAAAGATACTTCTATTAGAGAAAAGAGGCCAACGAGAAGCAATAAATTGTAATGCAGCCATAATTCCTCTGCCATACTAGGCTGGTGAACAGCCCTGTAAAGCATGCTGTAATGGAGAAGAATTGTTCCATCTTCTCACTGTTTCCTAGAGTAATTAATAAAAGAGCAATCTATTACTAATGTGACTATATACTATTATGTCAGTTAGTTAATGTAACTAAACACATTTCAAATATGTGCATTTTATGCATTCAAGATGTCAATAATAAAGTTATGCAAAACATCCCATTTTAAAGGTAATTTACTCTTTATTCTTTGATGTCTAATATATTCAGACTTACAGCACAATATATTGGTTTTCTATCTACGTTCCAATTAATTGGCCCAGACTTACTTTGTACCATCTGTTTTGCATCTCTTGTGTGCATTTGTTTTGCAGGAAGAGATGGCTGCTGTTTTGCTCCTCTTTGGGATGGCTACCACCATATAGGACCTGAATGTCCTACTGCTTCCCAGGAACAGAAAGGAAACCCTCTATTTCTCTGTTTCGGTGGTAGTAAAAAAGCTACTGAATGGGCCTGAATTTCAACAAACTATCAGGTGAATGGGACCTGTCTCCTTTCTTCCAAAATATCAGAAATTAAGCAGTTTGAGAGATTTGGCCAAGATGACTCACTTACAGGCTGGACTCAGTCCAGAGACTATAGAGAAAGCCCGCCTGGAACTGAATGAAAACCCAGATGTTTTACATCAGGATATTCAGCAAGTCAGGGACATGATCATCACCAGGCCTGACATTGGATTTTTACGTACAGACGATGCCTTCATCCTGAGATTTCTCCGAGCCAGGAAGTTTCACCAAGCAGATGCCTTTAGACTCCTGGCCCAGTACTTCCAGTACCGCCAGCTAAACCTGGACATGTTCAAAAACTTCAAGGCTGATGATCCTGGCATTAAAAGGGCTCTCATCGATGGGTTCCCTGGAGTGCTGGAAAACCGTGATCACTACGGCAGGAAGATCCTTCTGCTGTTTGCAGCCAATTGGGATCAGAGTAGGTAAATGTAGATAGTGTTTTTATTGGTTTTTCTTTTTTGTAAGCACAGTCGTGCACATTTGGGGCTGTATGCATTTATAATAGTAGGCTTTCATTGAAGTATATATTTATTCCACACACCCACATTTATGAATTTGTCTTTTAGGTTCAAATCTCTTGGGAATATTTCTGAAAAGAAAAAAAAAACCTTAGAATTTCTTAGGTACATTCCACTAAAGTTTATTTTAATAAACAAGTACTCAACTCGTCCAAAAGAACCATATATTCTGTCTTGAGTGTTCTCATTTTCCTAGAGAAGAAATCAGTGTTGATCTAGAAATTCTCCATGTGCTGTGCTGCTCTGTGATCATCCACCTAACTTTTTTGATTCAGAGTTCAAAAAAAAAAAAAAAAAAAAAAAAACCTTAGAAAATTTCATTCATCAAAGTGGGTAGTTTATTTTAATAAAATTGAAAGCCAGTCGTCCAAAAGAACCATATATTCTGTCTTGAGTGTTCTCATCTTTAACGACAAAAACAACAAAGATTCAGTAGATGGCTTTAAGTGTTTTCAACACATAAAATAATTCCTTGGATTTTCTCTGTGACTTTACTATCCTATATTTCTTCTGAGCATCAGACCTTTCATTCCAAACGCTTGCTAGACACCTCTCCCTGACAGTCCTATAAAGAACCACAAACTCCACATGTCCCAAATGAACGCACTGCCCCACAATTCCTGCTCTTCCATCCCTCCCATCTCTCCAGCCACAAGTCTGGATGTCATCCTAGACTGCTCTCTGCCTCTGCTTCTCACATCCAATTGGCAAGTCCTTCCCCCTTTTTTCAAAAAAACCTCTCAAATCTCTTCATCCCTCTTTGTTCCCATTGCTGCTTCCTTAGTTAAGGTTCTCATCATTTCTCACCTGCATCTCTGCAATAGCCTTCTGACTGGCATCCCTGCCACTGATCCAGTACTTTTGGAGCCATTCTCACCTACACAGTAGCCAGAATGACCCTTCCAAAATTCTGTTATATATGCTGATTAAAACACAATAACCTGCATGACCTTCAAAGTTAAGACCCTCTGTGATCCACCATTTGCATCTCCTGTTTTGTGTCATTCTCTGCCCTTCTCATGTTCTCTGGTCCCGTGATGGGAAGTATCAGCCTTGCCTTGAATAGCTGAGGTTTTTAGTCTCCAAGTCTTTGGACTTGTGCCATCAACTACTTCTTATCCCAGTCCCAACCAATCCTGAACACAGTCTGCCCACTAGTTCATACCCCTCTTCATGGTTCCTTAGGAAGGTAGTCGTCTTCATCTACCCCCATTCCCATCCTTCTTAGTTAGGTGCCCTTCCTTTGTTCGTATTTCCATTAAAATATTTACAATAGGAGTATAAGAACCACTGTTATTGTAGCTAATATTTTTTAATACTTACCATATACTCTGCCAAGAATTTATATAGATTATTACATTTAACCCTCTGAGAGCTTTGCATGCTTGATATTATTATCCTTATTTTACACTTGATAACCCAAGGCTTTGAGAAGTTAAGTGACTTATTCAATGGCGCACAACTAGTGAAGAGTGGAGTGGGAGTTCAGCCCTGGCAGCCTGACTTTGAGAATGAGTTGTCTTAACTGAGCTTTATTATAATTGTGTGTTTCCTTGTGCACCAAGACTGCAGGTTCCTTGAAGGCAGGAGACTGTGTTTTTTGTGTTTGTCACTTTGGCACATGGCACAATATCCAATGAATGATGAATGAAAAGAATGCATGAATCAATCCCCAAAACTTCACCTGTGGCTTGAGCTTTCACAGGGTATCATCGTAGAAATTTTTATGGTACTTGGAGATACAGGTTTAACTTTTCACATAGACTAAAGAACACCTAACCCAATATAATTAAAAGCAATTGCTATGGTGCCCTTTACTGTCTCATATTACTACCTTTCCCCTTAAAAATTATAATAGTGTATGACACCTTAGTGATCATTGGCTGTTTTCTGGCTGACAAATTGTGATGCGGCTACTTAATCCTGAAAAGGTAGGTACTGGGTGTTTCAACATTGTCAGTGTACAGTTTGGTCAGGTCTGCGCCTGGGTCCAGAATGCCTTTCCACATTTCTGCTCTGTTACTCCATAAGCATTAATGATGAGCCTTTTATTACAATGCTCTACTAATGAGAAAGATTTCCACATAACTCATCATTTAAACTCAACATCCATCATTCACTCAACAAACATTTGATGAACATAGATTTTGGCCAAGGCTCATATACTAAGGCACTGAGGACAAAAATGAAAACCAAAATTTCCTGCCAGCAAAGAGCCCATGGGGCACCCCATGTTCTGCAATATGCAAACAGATAAATAGCAAACTCCACAACATAGGACATCAGTCTTAAACTAGAGGGAACAGCTGTCTTTTTGAGAATGACACATAAGAATTTTGGATTTTGGAACTGAAAAATTTTGATGATTTTAGAGAATAATCATGCTGCCTTAATTTGTGTTGATTGTTGTAAGTGTTCTAGAACTTCCCTATGCTGAGACAGATGATGCATAGAACACCAATAAGTAATAATTTACAGGTAAAGAAATAAAACATAGCAAAATAGCTTATTTTGCATTAACATTTGATCTGTACACATCTCAAAATACATTAAGAAATAACAAATAGTAATTGTAAGAAAAAAAGAATCATGGAGGGCATAATCCCAGAGTTAATTATTATGATGACCTTAAACAACTTACTTCTCTGTTTCTCAATTTTCTCGTGTAAAATAAGAAGCATGAACTTGGTAACCCCTGAGATACGTTCCAGTTCAAATGGCTCATGAATGTGAAGCTTATTCAGCCTGATCCTATGAATGGATGGAAAAAATTCATTTTATAGGCCCCTAATTCACAAGGCTTTTTGAAGTAATTCCTCCTCCTCTATTTCTCTACCTTTCTCTGTCTTTCTGTTCTTCCTCTTGTCCCCAGCCAAGGTTGGGTCTACCTGAGGCAATTTTTTTCAAACTGGACAATACCATTTTGCTCCAAACATTTTGGTTTCAACAAGAAGGTGCATGATAAAGCTCTCCCATTGATGGCCAAAGATTATTAGAAGCAAACAAACCTCAGCTTGAACCCGGATACTGTCCTGGGATTTACTGGTAAAATGACCTGGGCCAGGCAACCTCTCAGATTCAGTTTTCTCATCTGTAAAGTGGGAATGATAATGATGTCTATCTAACTGGGAGGACTGAATGAAATAACGCATTGAAGGAACACAGCTCATTGTATGGCACATGTAAGCACTCGATTAACATTAGTTTCTGGTATTGTCATTAATATTATAAAACATCCCATTGCAAAAATAGTAAAGCACTGGTGGTAAATCAATTAAAAACAGAGACAGATGTATGATGTTTGGAAATGGGAGTGGGCTGATGGATCTGATCTACCTGCACGCCTGCCCTAAGCCCTTATTTGTTTTCTCCCCAAACATGCTCTTTGTTACACACACCCAGCCCAAAAGGCCTGGCCGAGTTGGTACAGCTTTGCAAAATGATTAGTTCACTCTCATTGGGAGCCTGTGATGTCTGGGAAGTGATATGAATGTCTCATATGAAAGGTTTACTGAGATTAAAATGGTTATTAATATTTATTACAACTATGTAAATCTCATTCATCTAAACCCAGACACCATGAACAAAAGCACAGAGCAGTGAGTGGGGGAAGTGCTGTCCTCCAGAGGCAATGCAGGGATCCTTCTGCTTGGGTTAGGTGTGCCCACCAAGGGCAGGAGCACGCCAGGCCAGGGAAGCACCCTGTCTCCTCCAGAAACTGGGCCTCAGCAGAGAGCTAGCTATCTGGCTTCTGTATTTTCTGAGGCTACCAGGCTGAAACAGCATGAATTAGATTAAATCAGCAACCACATATGTCTTGCAAATGGGTTTCAGTCCTAGGCAACTTCACTTGGATTCAATGTAACCTAAGATTCAATGTAACCTAAGATTCAATGTAACCTAAGAAATGACAGTAGAATGTTCTTGGGGTGAAAGGTTATAGCCAACTTTATTTCCACGGTGGCAGGTCATTCACTAGAATCTCGTCCATTCAGAGCGAGTCTGCACGCAGCAAGGCATCTCTGCCTCTGGGCTCCTCTGCCTGCGCAACTGTCCTCTGGGCCTCTGTCCTCAGCACTGCCACCACTCCAGCCTCTGCTCTGCTCTCCTGCAGCCTTGCAGCCATGCAGCTGTGTCACCCAGAGCACTGGACGGAGCACTGCCCACCCCACATGTGTGTAGTGAGGTAACCAACCAGGGCCAGGTGAGAATCTTGGCCACAGGAACCTTCATTTTATCCACAACATACTCATTCTTAAAATAAAGCTGGCACCTTGGAGGTCAGCAGAGTGTCTGTTTCAGCCCACCAGCTTGGTATGTAATGGAGACCTAAGGGGGCCCTGTTGCTCACAAGCTGTTTAATCTTTCTCACCTAAACTCCTTATAGGTATTAGCAAAAATTCAAAATTTTCCCTTTAACTGATTAAAAAAAAAGAAACCTATTTCTTGTTTCTTCCTGATTTGCATGCTTGCACATGGTCCTATTGATATGGTCCTGATTTTCCCATGAATGCCCTTCCTGTGGAGAGGGAACTATGAACAGAGAGGAGCATGTTTATTTTTTCCTGGATTTAACTCAGTTAAGAAAAGGAAGAGTTAAACTTGGTCAAGTTATTTTACTTTCTGGAGTGAGTCTCAGTTTCATCAAGTGGAAATGGGTATAATTATCTGGCATTTGGAGCTGTTGCAAAGATTAACCTTAATCACTCTACTTGATTTCATCCAAGAGGCAGAATAGAATAGTGATTTAATGCACAAACTCTTATGCCAGATGGGGAGCTTCAAATCCTACCTGCTTTCTAACCAGCCGTGTGATTCTGAGCAAGTTGCTTTAACTCTTATTACTCAGCTTTTCACCTGTAAAGTGCACATGAGGATGATCATAGATCAGCCCAAGTCTGTGT